GGTCAGAGCCACTTTGTCACTCACCGGGAGGAGAGACGAGTTTTCTTACATAATTGACGCTTTTGGGGTTTTTTTGTTTGTTTGTTTTCTTCTTTTAAAGACAGCTCCAAGAAGCAGACCAATGACCGAAGAATCCCCCGTGTGACACTTCTTGTAGCAGTTGTTCTCATCTGTGTTTCTCAGATACAAGGCACTTAAAGCAACTTTTGTTTGGGGTTATTTTTATGTTATGCGGCTTTCAGGCACCCGGGGGGAAAAGAAAGATTATTTTCTTATCTGAGTGTATTTTGTTTTGGTTTACAGTTTGGAAGTTTTCTATAAAAATTTAAGACATCCTTTAAAGCTAAATGTAATTAAGCATCGTCTTCTACCTTCCTCAAACCAAACCCCAGAACCTTGGTTTTGTTTTGGTTTTTTTTTTTTTTCCCCAAAATAGGGAAGATGCAACGAAATTTAAAGCCTGTAAGCAAGGAAAAAGAAAATAGATGGTTGGAAGTTCAGATTTGCACTTCCATAGAAAATTTCAAAGTTCTGTACTTTCTTTGCTCAACTTTGTGACAAAGAACAGAAAAGCACCTCCTGGCTCTTCTAAACTAACCGGTGAAGCATCACAAACCTTAACCATTTAGCAGTAAATTACTGATTTTGTACAATGAATATAGAAGTCCAAGTAAACAAAGCATCCCCTGCAAAGCCCTGTCTCAAGCTCTGCGGCCAGCGGGCCAGGGCTGGGTGAGCTGCTGGGCAGGCATCTCCACCTTGGTGGAGACCCAAGTCAGCACACCTTTAGAGCAAGGCATAATGGCACATAGCCTCCCAGCATCGTGTCCACGGTTATAAACCACATTTAATTTAAGTCTAGGATGCTTACGATAACTCACCCATACTGGCTTCGGGGGCTTGGCAAAGCTGGGCTGCTTCTAGACTTGAGTCGCCTCGCGTGAAGTCAGCTCTGACAACTGCGTTGGGTCTTCTCAGCCTTAGAAGCCTTAGGGCTGGTGTGGGCACAGCCACGGCTGCCAGACGCCCCCCCGGTTCTGGGGAGCAGAGGTGCCTCCCGGCTTCCGTTGTGGGTGTGTGGGAAGCAGGGACGTGCCCATTCTGGTAGGTGTCATCTCCTGCCAGCTCTTCCCAATAACCAAATGTGGCTCTATTTCCATGCACTCACCTGTTTATGAGCAAACCTGGACCAGATTTGCTTTTAATGCTGCAGATGGCCTGCACAGTAACATCTTCCTAGCCTCGCAGCTAATTGCTTGCTCATGTACACACATCAAGAAAGAAATCCTCAGAAGAGGAGAAAGACCAAACTATTCTAAAATAACTTCAATCTGCAAAGCCTGCTGGGGCTTCCACGCAAAACCCTGGCTTGCATGGCCTTTCCTGGCTCCGCATGAAAGCGCGTGGCATCCCCACCCGTCCCAGACTGAATTGTGTCCTGATTGAGTCGGAAAAGCCACCGAGGTCTTTGGGCTGCTGGATGAACAAAAAGAGGAATCTCGTAAGATCATCACATGGCAGCCCGGGCTTCCCTCCAGGCATGTTTTCTTGCTCCTCTGCCTCATCGTCAAATAAATGACTTAACTCATAGCAGGAGTATTATCTGTTCCTTGAGCTGTTGTGCTGCTCCGGGGGGCTAGTGGGAGCACCTTGTACGTTACTGAGCCCCCTGGGAGCCTTCCAGCTCCTTCCCACAACTTCCATGTGTGCCCCAAATCATTTGGACTTCACAGGGAGAGGGATGCAGGGTGCTCAAGCTTGGGATAGGGCCCCAGAAGGGGAGCGGGGGGCCGTGTCCCACACTCAGGTGGGTGTGGACACGTATCCCAGGAGCGCCGGGGTGAGCCGGTGCTGCCAGTTGGGTGTGTTGAGCGATATCAAGCTGCTGGTCAGCAAAGGGGGAGTGAAGAAAAGTGAACTGAGTTGCCCGAGGAAGGAGAGAGTGAAAAGCTGAGCATAGCATTAGGGCTGAGTCAGAGGGGAGGGGAGGAGGCTTACGTGGTGCTAGTCCTGATGGCGGCGTCCTGGGGGAGAGGGGCACAGCCTTCGCTCATCTCCTCGTCCTTCGTCCTCTGATCAGGACGGTGTTGGGAAACAGGTCTGCTGCTCTTATCTGCGTTGCAGAGTGCCCCAGGGCAGCCGCTGTCCCCATTTCACAAGCACCCCGCATCCCACCACTCCCAGCCTCAGCATCCCCTTGTGCCAGGTCTGGTGCTGGCGGAGGCTGCCTTGCTCCTGTTCAGCTCACTGACATAGAAAAACTTATTAAAGCATCGCTTTTTTTGCTTAGTTCGTTTTTTTACAAGGTAACCAGTTAATTTAGCTCTGGGGTGGGGTTCAAAGATGCTCAGGAGCCAGCCCGGGGTGAGGAGTGGCAGCACATACCTGTGACTTGGGTGGGTCAGACCCTTTTTGGCACGGAGGTGAACGGGGCGAGGCTGTCTCGTAAAGGCGCATCCTTGTGGGCTCGCCCACCGATCTGAAACCTTGGCACTCACAGAGGTGAGATTAAGCAAGAAACAAAACCCCTCCATCTTTCAGAAGAGTGGAGCTGACCCCCGGAGGGACTAATTAGGTCTCAATTATGGGGCAGAATTGGGGATGGACTGAAGTGCTCCCGGGACCAAATCCAGGCTTTGCAACGGCACCCAATATGTTCTAGGAACATGGTGTTACCTACTTACAATGCCGTGTCCACTGATATACAGAGAAGTTGTATGTTGTGCAGCATTTTGAATATTTACAGCTAGAGATTAGGAAGTGCAGAAGGAAAGCTCTAGCATAAGTAAATAGATTGTGCGGAGTTTAGAGGAACTAAGCTACAATCTTAAATTCAAATAGCTTTCCTATTAGGAAGGATCTATTAATACTTATGGTATGGTAATTGTGCAGACTCCAAGTCCTCACCCAGTCAAAAGTAACCCCTAAGAGCCCATACCTACCCACGGAAAAATCCCTTTAAAACACTGGGAATTTTGCCTACGTAAATACTGCAAAAGTTGAGCTGCAAATGCCTCTTCTATAAACTAAAAAACAAGAACTCGATCAGAACAGCAAAACTTCAGTGGGAAATCTAAGGCAGACCAGGCTGCTCCGAGAATACACGCAAGGAACCCAACTTTCCTGCGTTTTTTGCACTGCTTTTCACCCTCGTTACCGTATCCTTTTCCCCATGGGTGAGAGCAATCCCCAGTCACTAATCTTTGTTCTTTGCCGCTTGGCCTCTCCGGGTAAGCATCATCTTCCTTTATCTGCTGCATCCACTCGCTTGCCCAAAGATTATCCCAGAAGGCAGGCTCCTTCCCTTTGATGGTTGCTCTTCAATGCCACAAGATAACCGAAGACAGCAAACATTTTCTCCTTGCGTCTGATCTGCGTGGTCAGAAAGTGAAAGATTTCATTCCCTTCAAACAGACGACTGCTTGCTGGCTGCATTTCAGCCTCTTTTGCTCATCTGCCTATGCTGGTAGCAAGGCTACTGCTCTGTGCTGCCTTTCTGTCACTTTAGGAAGCTGTTCTGCTCACATAAAGGCTTCTCTTTTCAGCAATTGTGTTGAGGCTGAATTTTTAAGTTGGTTTAAGCCTTTCCCATTTGTTTGGAGGAGCTGAGACTTGCAGGTTCTTGGTGTATGCTTAGTTTTCAAACTTGTTAGCTGTGCCAACTCTTTTTGATCATGGTTAAAACGATTTAAATATACAGTTTAACTCATCTACAGTAGCCATTTAAGCTCCTGCTTCCTTTATGGGGGGGAGTCTTTGTTCTCACCCTGAATCGTGCCCTGCGTAGCGTGCTGCCACCATCGAGGACTGAATCGCTTGGTTGCTTTGGAGTTTGCTCTTCCAACCCATAGAGGAGTGGAACGCAGTACCTCCAATTCACAGCAATACCAGCACAGCACTTCTGTCACTGCTGTCACAACTTGCCCTCTCCAGGCCCTCATCCTGGTCCCCATTTTAGGGCCGATGGCAGAGGGAGAGGTGAAATAACGTACCTGGATGCTGAAGAGCAGAATTTAACTCAGTCCCATCCCGGTCCCCTGAATACTGAGATATACATGTTGCGGCGACTAATCCAAGGTCACCCAAGAAAATAAGACCCAAATGTCTTTCAGCTTGGTCCTGGGTCAAACTGTGCAACTCAACGTCTTCCCACCCGGTGCGTTGCAGCAGGAGCTGTGCCCTGTGGGAGCCATCCCTCTGCACAGAGGTGCAAGCTGGGTGCAGTGGAAATGCAAGTATAACCCTGTCCTTGCAGACATCATCCCTGCTCCTTGCCTGGGTGGGGAACCACCAGTTGGGAACAGAAGGTGAAAGAGGAAAAGCAAACAAGTCTTTCTCATTGCTCTGCTCACATGCAAGGAAACTGGCTCTCAGTTTGCCTTAGAAACAACTTTGACCCTGGAAAACAGATAATGAGTAGGAACTAGGGACTGGGTGGGAGGAACAGCAAAGCCCACGTAGACGCTACAAATGTGTGGGATTTTTGGCTTCAGGTCAGCACGGGTGGACATAGTGATCCCTTGAGGCGTTCCACTTAAAACTGCTGGTTCCAGCTCGCCTCTCCCCTGCTCCCAGCATTGCTGCAGTCATTCGCACGCTGCTCCTTTTGCTTGCACCTCTTATCTGCCCTGTGGAAAATGCATGCTCAGAGTAGTCCAACTTCTGGATCTCGCCGCAGCCTAGCAATTCCTTTGGCCTGACAAGCATTTATAGACCCCATCCCCTACTCTTTTTACTAGAGGTAGCAATCTGGGACAGGTCCTAAAGTAGCTGAGAAACACTTAATTCTGGATCTTCCCATTTTTGTGCAAATTAAGCCATCAAACTAAATGTTATTTTGGTTTATCTTTGGTGTTTGACACACTATAAATCAAACAGGACCTGAATACGCTCCTTTTGACTTGTGATACTCTGTACATGTGCATCTATGCTGCGTTCCAGGTGCCTTTGCCAAAACATTAACAGTAATACTAGGAGGACTCAACAGAGCAGATGTTCTGTAATCCCACACCAAAAGGCAACCTGGGAATGTTGGAAGTTCTGCAGGTACAAAAAGCCCTACCCCTCCAGCCACGTACTTTTATCCATATAAATTAATTGTCATAACAGTTCTGTGAGGTATCACTGTCACCTTACGAAGGGGACACTGAGGTGGTCGATTTGGCAAAGGACACGGAGTCGTGGAGCTCTGACCCTGTGTGATCAGTTCTACTCTCCTACGCAAGCTTGCATGCAGTCTAAGCGTACCATGTAATATTTCAGTGCCGGGATCATTAAACTGTAAAACTCTATTTTAGGAGGTTTGTTTTCATTCTTTCCCCAAACAGTAGATTGTCTCCAGCAATAATAAAATACAAATACCCATTAGAGTAGGGAAAAAAGCTAAGCAGCTTTACAGATACCATGTTCTTTTTCCCTAAACTGTTTGATTTCCCTAGGGGTGTCACAAGGTAGCCAGCAAAAAGCAAGGACATCTCCCTGGGGGAAATCTTTGCGATGTTGTTGTATTTGTATAGCGGTAGAAAGTCTGTACTGGTTATGAAACAATCACAAAAATTGTCACTGGCTAAAAAATGGGAATGTTTTAGGCCTAATCCAGCTCCTGTCAAAATTCATCAACAAAACTTCCCCTGACTTGGAGAAGTGCAGAATCAGGGCCTCTGATTTCCAGGAGCTATGTTGCAGCATCACATCATGATCACTTTTACCCACCTGACAAGCATATATACCACCCAGTATTTCAATACCAAGGCGCAACAGCTTGAAAAAACATTTCTTTTTAACTCTGAAAAAATAGCTCTGCTCCCTAAGGTGCCTCACCAAAAACCAGAGCGTTTTAAAATGCTGCCCAGGTAGCTGAGGGTTGCCGGCACAGGCCGGCACAGGGAGGGAGAAGATAATGTAATGGTAGCTCCATCACTCAGTACGACTGCTGGCATCACATCATTACTACAGCCAGAAGGTGACCAGACCAGAGCACTGATGTGGGATTGCTCCCCTGGATGCTAAAGGAATAAGTGACGCTGCTTAAATGCAACAGTGCAGGCACAACTTCCAGCAAGTCTCCAAGCTGCCGAGTGCAGGGTGTGCTGAGGAAGGAGAGCTCCTCCTGCACGTGCTCCTATGCTCTTGCACCCAGTGTCCTCGTCTCCCCTGAAACCAGCATTGATAAGGAACAGACCAGGGATGCTTAGGCGGTGGAAAGTCAGCATATAAATGTGTGACAATAATCCAAAAAGGAGATTCAGTTTCTCCCCGATTATATTGCATTTGCCCTGGATGAGCGAGTGGTGAGCACACTCTACTTTTCAGCCTGCCTGTTTCTTACGATGGCTGCCACCCCACCGGAGAAGATGGGCACAGCTAACACAGGATCCCTCGCTCCAGCTTGTGCCTGGGTCATTGCTTTGCTGCCAGGTGCCTGCAGTCTTGGCTTTGTTGCCCAACTTCACTGTCGAGCTCTGCTTGTGCAACCAAAATAAGGCACTTACCAGTAGGAATTCAGTGGTTTAGGTGAGATGTTAAGGAACAGGCTCAGAAATAATGGGATGCAACCAAGGGAGAGCAAACTCTGGGTGATCTGCAAAGCTGAAACAGAGTTGTCCTCTCCTTCCCAGCCATTTCCATCAGCCATCTCTGCTCCATGCTTTCCCACCTTCTCACTCACTAAATACCTGTTTTTAATGGCAAAGGCTGTGTAGGAGCAAACCTGGAATCCATACGTCCCCCTCGCAGGTGCAGGGAGAGCTGCCTGAAAGACATGAATTGGCTGCAGCCTTCGCAACCACATTCATGTCGTGCCACTCAGGCTGGGCCACCGTAGAGGGAATTAATGGAGTGTAAATCCCTGTTTGGAAGTACACGACGTCTCCAGCTTCTCCCTGTAACTCCTTCACTCCCGTCGTGAACCATGCGAGGAAGGGATCTCCCCCAAAGAACCCCAGCTGGACATTTGGGGTAGTGATAGAAAGAAGCAGAGTATTCACAGAGCCAGAGCTGCCTGGCTGACGGGTTCAGAGCTAGCTGCGATACTTCCAAGGGAATCCGTAGTCCCGAGACTAGAGCCTGCTAGCAACAACCCGCTGTTAAAGTTATTGTATGGCTTGGCTACAAAGATAAGGCACCAGATGGCTTGGGAAGAATTTTTAGGAGAGAGCTGTGCTGGTATGCCTGGAAGGATCTTGAGAGTTTACGTTTACAATAGACTATTTCTTTGGAGGCGAATGTTTGTCAGGATCATCAGTTTTAATTACTTAAAATGCAGGCTGTTTCTAAATGCAGGCAGTTTTAAGAGGAGGGTTTTTTTGTCTTTGTGTTTTTTCCTAAGGACAACAAGCAGGAAACCATTTTTTTTATTGACTCGTGCAGACTAACATTAAGCAGTTTTCATCCCAAACAGAATTCTGCAACGCTTTCTTTCACTGATGAATTATTCATTGCACAAGCAGGTATTTCTTTTTATCTGTTTTGAGTCAATGAAGTAAGCAACTCATTTTGTCAGCTCTAGGCACACAAACCCATGGATAAGTGCTCGAAATTCCTGAGGCTTTTAAACCAGACCTTACTTTTTCTTTGAGCTGGGATAGGATCCATAAGCTGACAGAGCTAGCTAGCAACCTGCTGGTAATACAGATGTTGCTTTCATACACCCAACTTGCTTCTAAAACAAAGCGCGATCAGTTTGCAATAAGGATTATGGTGCAATTCCCTAAAATATCAGGGGCTGAATTTGATGACGCCAGAAATAGAGCTCCCATATACCCAGTTTGAGGGTATGACATTTCTTTCCTAGCCAGAAGAGTTACCCAGACATATTTAGAGGATTTGGACCATTTGGGCCTTCCTGATAACCACCAACCCCCTGGAGCTCCTCGTCACCTGCAGGAGCACAGCAGACCCGAGGAGATGTGCATGGGGACAGCACACCTTGTGTGCCTGCATCGATGGCAGCTCTGCCGAGGAGGTGATCTCCTGTCCTGCGATGCATGTGTATTGGGACATACGTGCCATATTTTTCAGGCCTCTCTACTTTCTGTATACACTAGAATATAACATCACTGAATGTTGGTGATGGGAATCAGGCTCATGTTTGTGAGCCAGCTGTTTCCACGTTTTCTCCCACCATTTTATCAGCTTAATTCTTAAATATCCCTAACATTTCCATCCAGAATTTTTGAAGGGAGGAAGCATGACTTGGAAATGACTGTAACGTGAATGGATTTGTTGACTTAACTGACATTGTTTTGACATGCCAGGGCCAACCGAGGGACCAAGACCCCTTTGTGCTAACTGCAGAACAAACACAGGACTGAAAACGGAGCTGGTATCAGAGTTGCCCTGCCTTATCACACTCAGTTAATGCGTTACTCCACGCTAGCCGGCCAGCTAAGAGTGACATTTGTTACAGGGAGAGGGAAAACTGGTACACAGCAGCAGCATTGCTTCTCTATACTGTTTTCATAGCAGGTTCTTGCCCACAGCGATCTGTAACTCAAGGCCTATATCCAAAACAGTGATTTGTCCACATCTGAGCCATTTCATCTACCAAAAAGGTGGACGTTTGTGTTCATGCAACACCAGGACAAGGAGATGCTGGCCCATGGCTGATAGCCCTAAACCTTGCTTGTGGGCCATGCTGGCTTCTTCCAGCACCCACGGGTCAACCAAACACCGCAAGAGCCCCTTCCAGAACAGATGTGTAGTACTGGACTCATTAAAACAAACGCATGCTTATCCTGTTTGATTCTGTGAATTAATTCATCCCTCTGAACAGTGAGAATGTGTTTTTATAGCCCTGGTTA